GTTCGAAACTGTTATGTACGCAATCATATCTCATAAAAAACAAAGGGCGAAATATCAAACGGAGATGCCATCGCATATCGCGAAAACAGCAATTCTAGTCAAGAGGTCAAATTACAAAGTAAAGTTGCCAGCGAAAAAAAAAAAACGCTCAGACTGTAGACACCGATAATCAGACATTCAACTGCGATAATGCCGATGGACATTGATTCACCAACAGGCAATCGAAAAGATATCGGCGAGTAAAATTCGAAAACAACGTGAAGCGCCTCAGGGCTTTGTTTACACACCGTCGCGTATTTAATATTTATTTATACAAGGTTCCTTTACATCTATTTTGGATTTTACAGATAACAGGACGCCTTAAGTCGTTCCCGTGGGATGCATTGGTTTGTGGAAGCATAATGACGTTCTATCTGAATTTGGCAAAATAAAGGAAATTGAAAAGATAAAGTTAATAAAGTTCCAATGTTTTAATCCAAGATGAAAGTTTAATATTTCAAGAAGCTCTTGATCCGGTTAAAAGTTAATTGCAATGTGTTTCCAAGGTCTCAAAGTTAAAAAAGTTTCAACGGTTATCCATGATTCCAAGATATAATAAGTTCACTAAGGTCCGGATCCGTGTCCCATCCAAAAGTCCAATTCATGTCGAAAGCGAGTCGTCGATCGACGAGGACAATATTTTCGCGATTTCACCGCCAATCGTCAAGGGTACGAGTTGAAATTTACGCGATTTTAAAACCTCCCATCGTCAAGGTGTTTTCGATAAGACAGATAAGAAAAGAAAAAAGTGAACTCTAGCTCTGCTCGGCAAAAACTGGCGAACACCGACCAGAAAAATCTATGCGAAATGCCGTCCCTACAACCAGACGCTGCTAAAAAGAAAAAGCTAGACCTAACCTAAAAAGAATCATGATGGGAAAAACCCAAAATAAAAAGAAATAATTTGGCCTAGGTCTACTAGGTCGCTTCCCTTGACTAGCCAGTATCCCGGCGGATTTCGCTTGTTAACAAGCCGTCCTAACCTTTGAGTGGAAAACTGACAAGTGTCATATTTGGCACGTTCTGAAACGTTGTTCAGAGAAAGCAAATGGATTGAAAGTCGATAAAGATTTTCCGCAGTCCTATTGGCGGGCTTTGCAATTGTTCGTACAATGAAAAACAAACCAAACGGGATTTTTACGTGGTGTACCACAGGCATCCCACGGAAAAAGTCATGGATTGCTTTTCAATTTCAGCTATTAATGACAAAAGGTCAAGCTATCAAACAAAGAAAATATCCTTGTGGTATTTGTAACAGGTCAGTGTCATGGAAACAAAAAGGTATTAGATGTGAAAACTCTAACTGTCGACAATGGTACCATATAGGTTGCCAAAATATGTGCCCTGTTGAACATGAGCAAGAACTAAATAAAGGCACATGGATATGCTCGCAATGCATTTTGCCTAATCACAACTCTGCTGATTCTTTGCTAATTTCAACTAAAGATGGAGACGACTGGAACAGTCCCTTGCTCTCTCTCGGTTCTCCACTGACAAGCTCCTCCCCGACTCAACTACACCATAACCTCTAATAATAGCTCCCAAGCGTAAACCAACCAGGATACTTAACATAAATTGTCAATCTGTCCTTAAGATCCTTGGAGCATTCGCTTCAATTCTAGACAGTATTGGCTGCGACGTAGTTACTGGGACTGAATCATGGCTAACAAATAATGTGAAGGATAATTAGATCTTTCCACCTGGCTTTACAATATATCGCAGAGACAGAGAAAAGGGACAGAGAGGAGGTGGAGTATTTATAGCTATCAATAAAGATCTGGTTAGTACAAGATACCAACCTGCAGAAACGCAGTGTGAAACCGTATAGGTAAAGATTGAAATAAAATCATGTAAGCCTTTGCTTACTGGATGATATTATTGACCACATGCATCCGACGCTGAGAGCCTGGCCCAACTGGATGAGTCCCTCACCAGAATTCCAAAGAACTGTCATATTTGGGTAGCTGAAGACATGAACCTACCAGGCATTGAATGGCCTTCTACTAGTATTAAACCAAACTGGCCTTCTCCAGCTCAGCACAATTTATTTATTGACGTATTGGCCAACCATGGAATGTCGCAGATCGTTGATCAACGAACAAGAGGCGAGAATACACTTGACTTCATAGCTGTTAATTACCTCACACTTGCAAACAGAACTGAGATACTTCCAGGGATCTCAGATCATGATGCACTTTTTGCAGAAATTGATATTACACCCAAAAGGCACGGTCAGGCTAAGAGAAAGATTCCCCTTTATAAGAAAGCTGATTGGGAAGGGATTGTTAGCCAAATTATCACCACAAATCAATATATTCGAGAGCGTGCTGACTCTGAAAGTACCAATAGTCTATGGAATAAATTCAAATCTGATCTGCACACAGCTATTGAGAAACATGTCAATGCTGTTCCTCATGTAATAAGCCCCCATGGATTTCTGCTAAGATACGTAACCTTCTAAGGTCAAGAGATAGGTTATACCGCAAGAGTAAACAAGCTAGAAAGAACAACAAGGATAGCATGAAACACAAGTCTAAAACACAAGATAAGAAGGGAAACTAGAGCTGCCTATTAGAATTATGTGGAAACCAACATCCTCCCTGAAACATCAGATGAGCCAAATAGAGGTAATAACAAACTGTGGTCCTTCATCAAATGCAGAAAAACAGACTCAGTCAGCGTAACCCCACTGAAATATTTAAGCAATAGAAAACGTTTTCCGTGTTTGCATAGCCTAATATAAACATGAGAGGGGTTGGGAGAATTCGAGACAGTTATGCAAACCCACGACGAAGTCGAGGGTTTGCATAACTGTCGAGAATTCTCCCAACCCCTCGAGTGTTTATATCAGGCTATGCAAACACCGGAAAAAAAGTTTTCTATTGCTTTTATAAAATAACTTTCCTGAGAAAAAAAAAACAACTCTTTGTTATGGCACTGATTAAAAGATAAATTCTTACCAGTCGCAAAGTCCTGTACACGAAGTCTTGCACGCGTAATCAGTTTTTGTTTTGCAAAAAGATGCTTTCCAAAATACAGATTTTTTTCGCTGAAAATGTCAGCTTAAGCGAAAAAAAGTTGACACAGCTTGTTTGTAAAGATTTTTCAATTTTCAGAAGCGAAGGAATGAGTAAATAAAGTGAACTTGTCGAGTTTTGATCACTAAACCTTTTTTAAATTCGTGCTCACGTGATTAGCGCACGCAAAGCAAAACATCTTACGTCACAGCCATGTTTACATACTCTCATGCAAAACACTCCTCTCGCGGCAATCAGAGCGCACATGCTATCTTAGTTATTTTATAAAAAGGAACATTATGGAACAAACCCAAGGACAAAGCAGAAATCTTAAATGAACAATTTAAGTCTGTTTTCTCAAATCCAACACCTGATGAACTGGAACCTCCTGTCAGCGAAACAGATAGGCCATACCTTGATATTGATGAACTACAAATACATCAGATGGTGACTACCAAAACTACTAGAAAATCTCAATCCAAATAAATCTATGGGACCTGATCAAATTCATCTGGGGGTGTTGAAACAGCATGCCACAGCTGTTGCCCTGATACTTACAGTCATCTGTAGCAAATCACTACACTCTGGTGAGGTGCCGAAGACTGGAGGAAGGCAAATGTTGCTCTTATCTTTAAGAAAGGCGAATGTTACAAAGCAGAAAACTATCATCCCACTTCACTTACTTGTATTGCATCAAAGATAATGGAACACATAGTAACAAAACACATAATGAAACACCTGGAATGTAACAACATTCTATACAAGCTACAACATGGATTTAGAGCAAAGCGTTCAACCCAAACCCAGCTTCTTACATTTGTCCAAGATCTATACAAGAACCTCCGCGACAAGAAGCAAACAGATGTTATAGTTATGGACTTTGCGAAGGCCTTTGATAAGGTACCCCATAAGAAGTTAATCCGCAAACTCAGAGAATATGGTATCAATAGTTCTATCAAGCAATGGATAGAGAGTCTCTTGCACCAACGACAACAAAGAGTAGTATGCGATGGGAAAGTGTCCTCATGGGTTCCAGTAACAAGCAGTGTACTTCAAGGATCTGTAATTGGACCTATATAGTATATATAAATGATCTCCCAGCTAAATTACAGTCCAAAGTTCAACTATTTGCAGATGACACCATTGTGTATATGGCTGTGGCTAACGAAACTGATGCTGCCATCGTACAAAAGGATCTCAAACTTCTTGAAGAATGGGAAAATAGATCACAGATGTCTTTCCACCTGGACAAGTGTTATGTGCTATGAGTTACACGGTGCAGGAACCCCCATGATTACATCCTGCACAACCAGATCCTTAAGTGTAATTTGTATAATGTATAATTTGCATAGTTCAGGAATTTCTCGCAAGAGAAAGAGTAGAGTTTGTTATTTTACAGACTAGAGAGATTTTTTTGATGTGAGAGAAGTTAGAAGATTGCTCAAAACTTGAACAAAGATTGTAGATTCTCGGAGCAATTGAGTATTGAGAGTAGAGAGCAAATTATTCGAAACAAAAAAAAACCCTTTATAATCGTTTGTAAACAAAGGCCGTTCTGGTTTGATGAGCCTTGCAGGAATCCAGAATCGAGAATCAAGATGCAACAATCGAGGATTGAGAATTGAGTGTCAACTTACTTTTGAACACTACTGTATCTCATTTAACTCTGCTTGTTTCTTTGAAATATTTTTATCTAAAACAACAAGCAGATAGGAAGCTGGGATTGTATAAGATTACTGGGATAAGATAACTGTGACAACTGAATTGATTAATATACTTATAAGCATTACTAGGATGTCTGGGATGACTGGGATAACACAGAGAAGCAAAATAATGGGCAAATAATAATCTATTACAAAATGCAGAGTTTGCCTCATTTCATTGAACTCTGCTTGATTCTTTGAAATATTTAAAGTCAAGCTTGCTTTAGCAGGGTGAGACTCTATAAAAAGGGGGTTTCTTTTTCTTTGTGTGTGGGAACCAAATAGTAGGCCAATGCTCCCAGTTGTTCCTAGCAGAGACCGTGGAATAAGTCTCGTGACAACTTTCATTTTATGCAAATGAGTCTCGTGATGAGCAGGCGGTTTTTTTTGCAATTGACTGAAATGATGCATTTAAGTTGATCACATTTTCGCTGTTTGGCAATGATGCAATTTTCCCTAAATTGAGGCCCTTGATTTCCTTGTAATTATGCACGTATATTAAAAAGTAAATACCCTGAATAAGATGAGAAAATATTATTCCAGGCAAATTCTGTTTTGTGGTGTATTGAGGAAGTACAATTCTCTGAATATTGTTGCAATTACTGTAACTTTACAGTTAAATAGATTCACTTTGTTGTATGTATTTAATTGATAGATTTTCACAGTTGTTAAGATGCGAAGTCGCATTGCACTTTATAAATACTTGAGATATCAATGATTTAACCTTTGACTACTACTGGAAGCAACTTCAACTACCTGTCTAAATTGACTGTCATGCACTCTACTTGCAGCACTTAATGCCCATAGAATAGAAATCCCATATTGAGCTTTTCCGGAACAGGTCGGTCCACAAATTCTATCTCATGAAAGCGTTGACTACTTCGGAACAAGTGATTACTTCAGTGGTTGAAAAAAAGACAATCTTTATCAGCAAAACTTTGCGGTTTATACTGGAAAACCAGGATCGAGGATTGGGGATTGGGGATCGGAGATCGGGGATTCCCGAGAAGGGAAGAAAAATCAGGATTCTACTGTATTATATAAAAAATTTGACCCCAACAATCAGTTCCTTTATTTCATTGACCACTATATATCCCCTTCTTTTTGAAACCCTTTATGTTTTACCTGTTGTTGTGACCCCTTCATTTTCACTCCTTTTGATGAGTTTTTGTTTTGTTACAGTTGTAAGTCTTCAGTCAAGAGTGAAACAACAGATTAGTTGCTGGTGCAGAGAACTGTTGCTACTCTGAAGAGTAACACAAAGGAAAGAGAACAAAAATGTGAGTTTTACATTACACCCTTCCTGACAGTTATTCTTCATAGTTGTAAATGATTGATTCAGGGATGTATAGCTACCTGTACACCAAGTAAGCATGTGTGTACTTAAAAAGGTCTAAGGTACAACATTAAAATACAGCACAATAAAAGTACAAATAATTTATAGACTGCACAGAGATCATAGAGATCAAGTGCTTTTGTTAGAGGTGGCCATCTTGAATGAGTGTCAAATCATTCTACTCAGGGGGTAGGGAATGGTTTGGGAGGAAAGCAAGAAATATAGAGGGACTGTCCTATTTTTATTTATTTATTTTTATTTTGCCACCTTATAATGATACAGTAACAGAAATTATACAAAGATTCATAAGATGGCAAGAATTAAAGCCCAAAGAAACCATGATCGAGGCTTTCACAGCGTGGGCTTTCTCTACTAAATTACAAAATATGCTTAATATTAATTCTAACTGAAGGGCAAAAGCAGAGCACAATAATACATAGAAATAAGGTACCAGTATTAAAAAAAGATAGAAAGAAAAAAAATAAAAGACAAAAAACAACACTCACGAAGAAAAGGAAAAAAGGGAGTGGATAGGGGGAAAGGAAAAAGTTAAGTCCTATCATCACTGCAACTTGCATTCAGGGGAAGTGATAGGAATTCAACCCCTTTTACCATTCATTACTTAACAAACTCCGCTTGGGATGAAAAACATGACAGACATTTTTAGCATTGATTTTGCATGTTTTCAAACTTCTCCTTTTGAAACAGTGATTTTATGTACATGTATTACAGTTACTGGGACATTCTTCCAAATAAAATCAGCAAACATGTACAGGTGAAACATTTGCCCTTTTAAAGTGGCAAGCATGTTCACTTCAACTCTGACAAAAATGGTTTAACTTCCAGATAAAAAGAAGGAAATTTCTGACACGGGTCGTCTCTCTGCATCTTTGTAGCATTAATTTCAGTTTGTTTGGCAGAAACAGCATTTCTCTATTCAAGACTCTGCAGACATCTGAAATCAACAGCATTCCCCTGGCCGGGGCTGCTTCAAAAGCATGTTGGGTTAGGCGATTGATCCTCAAAACACCAAAAATCCTTTGTGTGTTTGCATAAAACATGCCTTGCAAATTCATAAAACTATTGGGTTTTGAAAACAATACTTAAGAGGAAAGTGGCGATAATTGGAGTTTCAAGTGGCCAAATGGTCCTCCTCCAAGAAATGTCAAGAAGAGTCTGCCCTTCCTCATGCCAGTTTGAAATAAATGCATCCCCCAGTTTCATCAGCCTAAAATATTATGGAGATCCAAAATTACACAAAAGTTAAAGTTAGGTGAACAGGTATTATGAAAGAGTCTTATAGAAATGATGACTTTTCAATGACCTGTCAATGTCGGTAACTTTAAACTAAACAGTTGGCAACACAAATTAACGTCCATTGTCTAATGACCAATCAAATGTCTGC